GGCGTACTTTAAAATAAAGGATCAGACTCTATGCTGTGGGTATTCCTCAAGACACTTGACTCATTTTTTAAAAAATCTCAGTATCCATTTCTATGACGGTGGACTTGTTGGTCACATTGCCTATAAATTGTCTGGGTATTTTTTATTTGTTTGTTTTTCATTAAACATGAAATTGATAATTGTAATGTCAGTTCAAAGTGTAACAAAATAATATTATTTTTATTAGTTATATTAAATTACAACAGCAAAAGTATGCATTAGAAGTAGGGAATCTAGTCGCTTGGTTATAGTTACAGTCTGATGCTATCTTTATAGTAATGTCCGACACAGTGAAACTGGAAACAAATGAAACAAATGAACTAACCAGCCACCAGAATCACTTCAAAGATGTAAACATTTTCTTTGTAAAACAAAAGTGTTTAGGCGACTTTCATGTCACAGTCACACTTCTTATTGCCTGTACACCCAGTTTTTATCCTTCGTTGGGTTTTATCTTAGGTGTCAGACACAGACTGGAGAATGACATTTTTGCCCGCCTTCAAGAAATGTGTCGAGGCTGGTACCTACAGCATCATGTGCAGTTACAACAGGTAAGGTCGTCTCACCACGTATAACAATAAACATACAAATTATATTTTTTCTGGGGGCTCTCGTGGCCAAGAGGTTAAGGTGTTCGCCTCTCATTCAAAGCCCCGGGGTTCGAATCCGGGTAGCGACGGGAACAATTTTCTTCTCTAATCTAAAATTGTCTCCTTTCACGTCATTCTTTTCCTGCTCTCTAGCAATGGTCTATCTTTTGCTTTCGTCTCCATTTTCTTCCCCTACCTCCTTTGCCCCCTCCTGTGGGCTACTGACTCTTTCTGCAGCCTTTCTACTGCTACTCCTTGGCTCCTTCTTACTGCCTTTCAGCCACGCCCCTGATTTTCTGATAGGAAAGATCTACACCTAGCCTTCTCGGACAAGGGCGAAAAATCTCGGAGGTCTTGTGTGCAAGATGCGCACGTTTAAGATCCCCTTGTGGTCTAAAATCGATAAAAGTAGGCTTCGGCCGCCACCCGGGCAAAATTCAAAATTTCCTATCAATTGGAAATGTTTTGTGTGTCCACTTGTAAGCCCTTGGCCGCTACAAGTAAACACATTTTCGAAACTTTTCATTGTTCACATTTAACGCATCTGCAAAACGTGGGCTCTAGTTCATGAGGGTTTTTTTCTTTAGCTGTAGTCCTTAATTCTCTTCAGGGTTTAAACATATTAATCATCCCCTCGTTTTTTTACGG